GCACGGCTCTCCCGCCAGCAGCAGAGGCCAGGGGAGGGGGCGTCAGGCCAGGCCACCGAGAACGCCACGTGAATCAGGGCCGGCGGCACAAGAGGCCCATTCTGGAGAGCGTCCTTGTTCCCTGGACGGTCCTGCCCGAAGGGAGGACCACGGAGAGGAAGGGCCCCCTTGAAAGGCTGCTGTCTGGCAACCCCTGGCCAAACGGAGGCGCTCCGAGGGGCCCCGGGGCCGATTCAGAGCAAGGGGGCATGCAGGGTGTCTGGCCGGGGCCTCCTGCCACCCCCACCCCCCCAGGCTCCTCAGCCGTGGAGGAGAAGTGCCACCAAACCTGGAAGGTCAGCGGGTTGATGCCACGGCTCCTCTGGGTTTTGTCCACTGGAGGCTGCCACAAACCGTGGCTCAGGGGCCACAGTCTCTCTGTCCTGCCGACCGGCTCCCTCTCGGTGGGTACCTCTTCCTGTCACCAGGCAGAGGCTGGGACGGGTGGGGGGGGGGCGAGGACGGCTGAAGGGTGGCTCTGGGTGCAGCTGGGCCTTCCCCCCCCGCCCAGACAGGCAGCCGTGGCCAAAGGCTCTCTAAGCAACACTTCCTCCCAGGGATGCACTGGACTCATTGCTGGGTGGGCAGAGCTGTGGGGGGGGGCAGAGGGCAAAAGCCTGGCCCAGCACTTGCAGCCGCACAGCACCCCCCCCCAATGGAGACGCAGCAATGGGAGGGGCACCGTCTCCACCCAGCCAGAAGAGCCCAGAAGCTAAGCAATGCTCCAATGCAGAAGCAATGGTGGCCCTCCTTCTCCACCCCCCCTTCACCTCCATCCATGGGGCCAAGCAGGAGTTTCACCCCCCCACACACACACACAAAACCTGACTCAGAGACAGTTGGGGGGGGGCTGCTCCAGTGCTGCTCAAAGTTTCCGATGGAGGAGAACTCACAAGCTCCCCGGAGGAGGAGGGGGGGGGGCTCCAGGAGAAGCAGTCAGGCCCAGAGGGGCTTTTTGAGGGCAGCTACTCCCTCCTGCCAGACCTCCAGAGCAGACTGTCCCTGCACATGGAGGCTCTGCTAATCAGCCCCTCTCGCTAAGCCCTAAGTGTCCTTCAGGGTGCAAAGGGCACTTTCTGGCCTGGCCTGTCTGGCAGCTCCTTCCCTCCCTCCCTCCCTCCCTCTGGGCCTGTTTCCAACATGTGGCATGTTACGCATCCACAACACACAACTCCGTTTCCAGCACAAAAAGCCCCCACTCTCCTAAACTAAGCATCTCCAAGGCAGCAGAAGGACTTTCCAGATGAAAGAACCGGGAAGGGCCCCTCCCTTGCCCGACCCGGCGGCCAGCAGCCGCCCCCCCCCCGGCAAGCGCCCCAAAGCTGGCGGTGCCGACTGCGGCCCCGGCCCCTCCGAGGGAGCCAACGAGGGGCCGGATGCCCCCCACCGCCCGGCCCCGAGCCTCCTCTGCAGGCCGATCCGGCGTCTAAAGTCCCCTCTTATCTCCCCGGCCGGACCTTTGGCTGGACACGCGGCAGCCCCCCGTCCCTCGGCACGGCCCCCCCGCCCAGGCGGCTTCTCCCTCAGGGGCGGGGGAGGGCCAAGCTCTGCGCAGGACCCCCGCCCCAGTCCTGCCCAGGCACCTGCAGCGGAGGCCTCCCCGCCCGCCGAGGGGCAGCCCAGCCGAGCCGAGCCGGGCTTCCCGGCAGTACCAACCAGCCCCGGGCAGCACCACCACACCCGCTCGGGCCTACCGCTCCCTCCCGCCCGAGCCCACTCCCGGAATCGGGGCCGCGATGCCGAACCCTCCCCCCCCCCGCAAGGCGAGGCGGGCTGGCAGCAGGTCCGCAAAGGAGGCTTTGCAGCGCCATCGGCATAAAAGCGGCGCCCACGGGGGGGGCAGAAACAGCCCCCTCGGAAAGGCTCCGAGCCCCGATGGCGCGAGATCCAGCCCCCCCCCCAGGCGGCGCAGGTAGGGAAGCCTCTGCGGGGGGGTCAAGGAGCGGAGCCCTCCGCCCGGAGGCAACAGCCGCCCCCCCGCCGCTCGGACCAGCCTCCCCAGAATGAGCGGCCCCTCCCGGCGCTCCCCGCACTGGGCGCTGCAATAAACAGGCGGCCAGGAGCGGCCGCGCGCGCTTCCCCCTCCGTCCTCCCCCCCCCGCTTTGGGGGGGCGCAGGATCCCCCCTCCCCCTCTGCCCGGGAGAGGCCGGGGCGGGCGGGGCCGGGGGGCGCACTGACCTTCCGCGCTCCTCCGCATCGCGCACCTGCCTCGCCCGCCTCCGCCGCCCGAAGACCCCCCCGCGGAGGAGGGGAGGGCGCGGGGCGGGGCTTGCGCGGCCTAGGCGGGGGCAGAAGGAAGAGAGGCTCGGCCCGGATTGGTTGGCGCGCGGGCCGCGGAGCTCCGGCTCCTCTCCCCCCCCCCGGGGCTCATTTGCATCTTTAAAGCGGCAGAGCTTGCCTTTCTCCGGGCAGCCGCGGCGCAGCGCGATCCTCGCGGCCGCTGGGCGGGCACGGGAAGGGGCGCAACCCCAAGAGAGCCGGCCCGGGACTTTCCCTGCAGCGCGGCCGAGGTCCGGCCGGACGGAGCGGCTCTCAGGCGGATCCGGCCGGGTCAGCCGCGCAACGGGGCTCCGGATCGCCCCGCGCAAGCCTCCCCTCCAGGGGCTGCTGCGACCCCCGCGAGATCCGCGCCGTCTCTTGGGGGCATCGCGCCCGGCCGCTCCCCGGCCCCCGTTGTCCCGCGATGGGGCTGCGGCTGCCCTCGCCGGGGTCAGGATGGGGCGGGGGAGCAGCGCTGGCTGCGGAAGGGGGGCCGGCTCCCCGGACGCCCTCAGTGGCCCTTCCCGCCGCGGCCCGCCCCTGCCTGGGGTGCTCCTCCGTGGGGTCCCCGCAGGGAAAGGACAGCCTGTCCCGAGCGATTGTCCTGGCTAGCCTCACCCGCGGATGCCGGGAGTCTCTCCAGGCGCCCCACCCGGCATCGATTTGCGACGGGTCCCAGGAGAAAAGCAGGCCGGGCTTCGTAGGGAGGGGGTAGTCTCACCCACCCGGCACCCTAGCCCCCCCTCACCTGGGGCCCCGTTCCCATTGCTCCCTTACAGAACGTCCGAGTCCCCCCCCAATCCTCATTTCGATGCGCCCCTCCCCCAGGGGGTCCCCTAGGCTTCGGCTTAGTGCACCAGCGATGCTTCCCAAACAGTATCTTTTCTAGGCAGTTGCTATGACAACACTACTCCGTCCTTCGATCTTCCCCGTTGTGCAACCAATGACAACGGAGCCAGCCGATTCCGGGGGGGGGGGTGCAGATGGGATCTATCAGGGATTTGCCCTCCTGCCCGGAGCAACGGTGCCAGCCTCAGCTGGGAGTCCCACAGCAGAGTTCCTCCTCAACGGGAGCCCCTCCCCCACTCTTCCGGGTGGTCTCCACTGCCTGACAGTGCCTGCTACTCCGGCAGGAACGCTCATCTCCGGCCGGCTCCAGGCAGACCTTGCTGGGCCACCCCTCAGGAGGGCCGCTGGGCTTCCTGGTTAAAGAAGACAAGGGGGCCTGCTCCCCCCCCATGACATCCCTCCTGTCTGGCCTCCCTCCACTGCCCCCCTCAGCACATGCAGGACCCTTGGTGCCTCCCCCCAACTGGCTTCATTGGCTGGCCTCACCCTTTGCCATCTCAGGTCTCTTTGGCCATCCCTAACAACAATAGAGTTGGACAGGAACCTCAGAGGTCCTCTAGTCCAGCCCCCCCCTGCTCAGGCAGGAAATCCTATACCCATTTCGGATAAATGGCTGTCCAGTCTCTTCTTAAAGACTTTAGAGTGTTCACAGCTTCTGGAGGCAGGCTGTTCCACTGGTGAATTGTTCTGTCAGGAAGTTTCTCCTTAGTTCTAGGTTGCTTCTCTCCTTGATGAGTTTCCATCCGTTGCTTCTTGTCCTGGCTTCAGGCGCTTTGGAGAACAGCTTGACTCCCTCTTCTTTGGGGCAGCCCCTGAGATATCATGTCCCCCCTCGTCCTTCTCTTCGTTAAACTAGACATACCAAATTCTAGCAACCGTTCCTTGTATGTTTTAGCCTCCAGTACCCTCATCATCTTTGTTGCTCTTCTCTGTACTCTTTCTAGAGTCTCAACATCTTTTTTACATCGTGGTGACCAAAACTGGATGCCGTATTCCAAGTGTGGCCTTACCAAGGCCTTGTAAAGTGGTATTAACACTCCACGTGATCTTGATTCTATCCGTTAATGCAGCCCAGCACTGTGTTGGTCTTTTTGGCAGCTGCAGCACACGCTGGCTCCTATTTAGGTGATTGTCTACGAGGACTCTTGAGGTCCCTCTCACAGTTGCTACTATTGAGCAAGGTACCCCCTATACTATACCTGTGCGTTTGGTGTTTTTTGCCTAAATTGCTTTTTTCACCGTTGAATTTCATTTTGTTAGATAGTGCCCAGGTTGCTTCTCTCCTTGATGAGTTTCCATCAGTTGCTTCTTGTGCTGCCTTCAGGCTTTGGACAAGAGCTTGACTCCCTCTTCTTTGGGGCAGCCCCTCAAATATTGGAAGACTATCATATCTCCCCTCTTCCTTAGGCTAGACATATCTCTGTTGGACCCCCCTTGCTGGCTGCTTCACACCCTCTGGCTGTCCAGGGAAAGGGGGCCCCAGCCCGGGGCCATAGCCTCCATTGCTCGGTGCCCCACAGCACAGCTTGACCTCCGCAGGGCCATCCACATACTCCAAATGCCCCCTCCCCACGGTGACCGGTGACCCCATTGGTGACCCCACTTGCACCCTGGCAGGGTGGGAAGGGCACTCCTCCCCCACCCCTGCTGCCTTTGCTGAGGGGGCCACAGTCAAAGCCCTTTTACACAGGCAGCCGTTCTGCCCAGCTCACGGGGGGGTGCTTGGGGGCCAGAGACTTCCCCCAGACTTCCCTCCAGAGCAGCTGGGGGGGAAGGGTCTGGGGGGCTTGGCAGCAGCTAAAGGGGCGCCCGGGATGGCGAGAGAACTTCCCACATGGCACAAGAGACGTGCTGAGCTACGTAGTTCTTTAATGGTTTAATAGAGTTCAACACAGGTGTGCATTTGTGTGTGTACACACATAACATTGTGTATCACGGGGTTAACTGTAATGGCTACAACAACCACATCCTTCTTTTCCCCTGTGGCTGGGAGGGGAGGGGGAGGTCACCTCAGGCCAGGAAGAGGAGGATGCCCCCCCCCCAAGGTGGGGGGCCAGCCGGCCCTCCCCTTCCCCCGCCCTCCTCTGCTAGGCGGTGAAAGCGTCCCCCCCTCCCCAAAATACTTCTAGACACACATCATGCTGATACAAAAGACAGGAGGAAATGGGGGCGGGGAGGACAAGCAAAGGGGCAGGCCCTCCCCTGACCTCCCTTCACGCAGGAGGCAATCCTATAAATTATAAACCTTCCTTATAGTAACAGTTTTGGTGGGGGTTTTTTTTAGAAAAAAAAATATAAAACACATTAAAAAAAAACACCTCATTTCCTTCCTTAGAAAACGAAAAGAGTTAGTGTCACATTGCAAGGGGCTTTCCCCCCCCAACTTTCCTTCAAACGTTAAAAAGAGGGGAGGGGGGCTTTGCAGGGCTGCCCAAAGGCCCCGGAGAGGCCATCCATCCATCGGCTGGATTTGGGTCTTGGTGGCTGGAGCCTCCAGAAAAACTGCCCAGCCCCCCTCCAAGGTTTTGAACATAAAGAGGTAGAAGAAGTCTGGAGTGTCAGGCTGAAGGGAAGGGGGGGCAGCTGGGAATGTTTGACACACACCCCCAGCCTCCCCAGGAAATCCGCTCCCCTGCAAGCTTTACGAAGGCCAGGGCCCCCCAAAATGGCTCTCGCCTCTCGCCTGGGGAGGGCCCCCAAAAGGACCATCGGCCTGGAAGGCGCCACGATGGCCCCACAGCTGTCTGCCATCCCTCAGCAGGCATGTGTGTGTGCGCGCGCGCGCGTGTGTGTGTGTGTGTGTGTGTGTGTGTGATGGCAGGGCTGGCGGGGGGGGGGCAGGATGGGCCAGTACGAGAGGCCCTGGCTGGACCCTGTGCCCACCCGCTGGGCTCTTCCCAGAGGCAAAGGAAGGGCTTCTGCAGGCGGGAAGCCACCTAGTCCCACACAAAGGGGGGGGGGGCGAGAGAAGCAGCTGCCCCAAGGTGCCCTGGGGGAGCTACAGCCGGGTCTCTCCCGCCCCCCCCCGCCTCCCTCCCTCCCTGGGCTGTGCTGGGGAGAAGCTGTGGCAGTGAACATGCAAACCAACCAGACAAAAGGGCTGCAATTCCCAAAGGGACACACCCAGCGCCTCTGGTGTCCCCCCCCTCTGTCCTCTTTTGGCGTGAAGCACAGCCATGGGGGGGAGGTGCCCCTTCCCACGACGGCTGGCCCATCGGGGAGGGGGGGAGGGAGCGGGACCCCCCCTTCAGCCTCAGTTCAGAACTCCACTTTGCAGGCCGGGAAGGTCTCGTCCTGCATGGCCACCGTGCTGTTGCTGCCCAGGACGGTCACGCCCAGCTCCTGCTGCCGCTCCAGCGTCTCCGCGTACCACTCGTGCATGGCCAGCGAGTCGAAGGTCGGGATGAGGGTCACCTGGGCAGGGCAGAGACGAGGAAAGGAGGGCTTTGCCGGCAGTAGCGGTCGCCCTCCACCCCCCTCCCTCTGGAGGGCTCGGACAGGAAGGAAGCCTTCCCTGGGAGCCCCAGCAGGAAAGGCAGGGCGCCCCCCTCTCCACGGAGGCTCCCTTTAACAGCGCACAGCTTGGTCAGAAATGGAGGAATGCGGCTCAGCGGTCAGCAGCCTCATCCTTTGACTCCAGGTGGCTTGAAAGCCTTGGAATCAACCCCCTTCCGGGACGGGACGGCAGGCAGGCAGGGACCGGATGGTCACTTCACCCCCACCCCCAGCCCAGCTCCCCTCTCTGGCGCCCGGCCCGTCTCTCTCCGGTTTCCCGCTGGGCAGGAGACCCAGTGTGCCAGGGTCTAGGAGATCAGAGTCTTCTGGGGTTTCTAAATCCCAATGATCAGGGCAGGAATTCAACAGGGGAAACAAGCAGCTCTGCCTTCGGGTAGGGAATCTGTAAGGCGTGGCGGATGGGGAAGGGGCCTGGGTCTCTGAGTGACCACCAGCTGGACCTCAAAGGTACATTAAGAGGAGACCCCAGCCCAGCCCTCTTGGCCTCCTCCCTCCCTCCCGAGAGCCCAGCTCAGAGGGAAGACGAGCAAGGGCCAAGGACAACCGTGGAGGGGGTGGAGAGCCTGGGGACTTAACCCCCCACTCCGGGAGGGAGAAAGACTTGGGGCCTTGCAGTCTGCAGGAGAGGGGAAAGGCCACGGCCCCTTCCGATATCTGGGGGGCTGCCCCACAGAGAGAGAGCGGGCTCCTTCCTCATGCGCCAGAGGGGGGAAAGGTAGGAGGAAACGGTTCAGGAGCCCCCTCCGGGCTGTGGAAACCAGGGGGCTCTCCTTCACGGGGGGGGGGGGGGAGGCAGCTGTTTCCGACAGGCAGGATGGGAATCCTTCAGAGGTGACCTACTGGATCCCGTTCTCGGCAGGAATCCCTGAATAGCTTCCCTCAGTCGAGGCAGGGGGCCGGGAACGCCAGCGCCCCCCACAACCCCCTGGCAGCAGGAGTGCTGCCCGAGGCCCCGTCCGGCCTGGCACCGGGAGGCCCATGTGGCCACCCAGGCCACCTCGGGGGGCCTCCCCTGCCCTCCCCCGGGGGGCCCTACCTGGGTGTCGTGGGCCCAGTGCTGCTTCCCGGAGAGCAGGGCGTCCAGGATGCCCCGCATGGCGCCCTCCTTCAGGTGGTCCTGCCCGCTGATGACATAGCACTGGGAGCGGATGCAGCGGAAGAAGTCTTCATCCACCTTCTGGGCGCTGGCTGAGCCCGGGATGTAGGCCAGCTCCAGGTAGACGGGGCAGCGGGGTGGGGCGGGCCGGGACCCTGCGGAGGGAGAAGAGCAGAGGGGGCCACCTTCAGCAGGGGAACGGGGGGGGGGCAGCAGCTAAGACTCAAGGACGGGGCTGCCAAAAAACGGTCCCAGCTGAGGCTCAGGACAGAGCCCACCCACCCCCAACCAACACAGGGAGCCCCCCCCCACTTTGGGCCGTTGATTTCTTCAGCCCACCTTCCCCACTGGGCATCTGTAGGGATAAACTTGGGGGAGAACCCCAAAAATGGCCTTCTCAGAGGGCAATCAAGCAATCCCTGGCCTTGGCTGACCGGTCATTGAGACCAAAAGAAAACACGTCTAGCAAATGACCCCAGCAGAGGCTGCTGACCAGGCCTGTCGCCAAAGCGAGGAGGGGGACGGGAGCCAAAGGCCAGAACCAGCGGGAACTGGGAGAAACAGGTCAGGCACTTAATTCACTTGGTCCTAAGAAAGTGGGGGGCTGCCCGGCACAAGCCGACTTGCCGAATTCGGTTCTCAGAGGGGCTCCTGGCCGATTCCTGACATGGGGCACCTCCTCCAAATGGGGAAGGGCAACACTGCCCCCTTACCTGCCGTGGCAGTTCTTCCTCCCGCCGTGAGAGGCCGGACATTTGCGTTCCGCTGGGCGAAGGCCAGCCGGTTGTCCCCGCTGGCACGAGAGGTCGGGGGGTCGCTTCTGCCGGGGGCCGGCAGCCGGGGTCTCTCGCCCACGCTGGCCGAGGAAGGCTTCGCCCGGGCACTGGGAGCGGCGGCCTTGGGGGCGTCTGTTTTGGGAGGGGCAGAAGCCCCCCGGGATGGGGCTCGCTTGGCCTTGGCGGCCCCTTCTCTCTCGGGGTCCACCATGCAGATGCCCGGCTGGGCAGGGAGAGGGCAGGGGTCTTTCAGGACCGCCGGGAGTGGGTCGCGGGCCTGGGCTAGGCTCTCCGGGTCGTCGTCGTCATCTTCCGAGTCCAGCCCACCGTCGGCCGTGAGAGAAGGGCATTCTTCCATGGCGGGCGGGGGGTCCGAGTCAGAGAGGGTGGGCAGCGATTCGCTGAAGGACGTCGGCGGGGTTTCATCCAAGAGAGGGTGGGACCGGCGGCCGCGGGGGCCCTTCCTGTGCGACGGGGGCTTGGCCAGCTCCTGGGAGAAGTCGCTGCTGTTGGACATGTCCCGGGGGCTGAAGTTGGTCAATGGGGACCTGTCCGACTTGGGGTGCTCAAACTCGCAAGGGGACACCAGGCAGAGGTCCACATCGTGGGGGGAATCCGACTGCCGGCCGCACCTGGGCAGGGCCCGGCCATCCAGGCGCTGGGGGTGGCAGGAGAGGATGGGCAGGGACATCCCACTCTTCCCCAGCGCGGACTCGGGGTCTGGGCTGAGCCCCCCGGCCTGCATGGCCTCACCTTCCTCCTGGGGGAACTCGCTCACGGGGGGCAGGAGCTGCTCAAAGGAGATGGAGAGTGACTCGTCCACCTCGGTGGAGTGGGGGGAGCCCACTTCGGCCGGCAACGAGGGGGTGGTGAGCGTGGGGGAGACGTCGTGGAGGTCGTCCCGGAAGAGGCTCGGGGAGAGGCAGCCGGAGGGCTTCTCCTGGGAAGAGCTGGAGTTGTCGTGCGAAGTCCGGGGGCTGGGGAAGGCGCCATCGGGCCTCCAGGGATTGGCGAGGGCCATGGGCTCCTCCACCATGGCCACGTCCTCCCGGGGGGACTGGTGGGAGGGGGTGCGCCCCGCACTGGCAGGGGACATCATCTCCAGGGTCTTCTCTTCGGAGCTGCCCCCGCCGTCCTCGGTGTCCGGGCAGTGGTTGAGCCGGGCCTGCAGGTCAGTCGGGGACAGTTCCAAGTTGATGCTCTGATCGCTCTTGGGAGTCTTGACCAAAGGGGAGGGGGGCCCGATCCACTTCAAAGGCGAGCCAGCTTCCAGATGCCGGAAAGGCTGAGGGCTCTCTGGGCCCCCCACCTCTGGGCCCAGGCCATTCTGGGGGGGCTCCAGGCCGTTTCCTAGGCAGTCCACGCTGCCCAACGGGGACAGCCTCTGTTGGCTCTCGGCCAGGGCGATGCCATGCCCTGGCCCCTGCCCTGCCCTCCCTGCCTGGCGGGGGGCCCCGTGCAGCTTCTCCTGCGTGTCGTTCTCCGAGGATGAGGAGGGATGCTTGGATCCTTCAGAGGGGCCGCCTTTGGCACCACTGGGCGGCCTCCCGGGGGCCTCCTTCAGCAGCCTGCTCTTCGGCCTCTCCCCCTCCTTCTTCAGAGGAGCAGGGACCGCCTTCTTGAGGCTTCCCATTTTGGTGGGAGCCCTTTTGGCCTCGGCGCTTGGCATTCTCCGCAGCTCCCTCGTGGGCGCTTTGGCTGCCCTGTCCTCCAGCTTCTTGGCCTCCTCTCTCTTTGCCGACTCCCTTCTGGGCAGCTTCCCCTCCTTCTTGGCCAACGGCTTCAGCTGCTTCGGCCTGGCGTCCTGCTTGGTCTTCTCCACTGAAGGCTCCACCTTAGGCTGGGCCACTCTGGCCCGCTCCTCCTCCTCCACGCTGCCCTTGGAGGCCTCGCTGGGCGCCTTGGGCCGGTCCCTGGCACCAGCCAGCTTCAGCTCCTTCTTCTCCTTGGAGACGGGCAGGCCGGATTCCACCAGACTGAGCCTGGAGCCGGACTTGAGGCTCTCCTGGCTCTCAGCCCTCTTGTGCTTGGCTTGGGGGACGGAGAAAGAGTCCACGTCCTTCCGAGTGACCACAGGGTACTTGAGGAACTCCAGATGCTTGACCTTCTCCAGCCCTTCCAGGATCCTGGCCTGGGGAGTGCAGCCGGGGAACAGGACCCGGACGATCTTTTCGGTGGGGCTCACTGGATGCCAGATGAGCAGGGCGCAGATGGAGGTTGCGCACTGCAGGGGCAGCTCCAGCCCTTTGGGGTGGCCGTTCCCACACCACTGCTGCATCAGGAATTCCAGCTCCCGGCTACCCTTCGCCGGGTGGAGCACGTACATCTCCAGGCGCCCGACGCCCATTTTCTGAAAGAGGATGGTGGGCTCCGCCTTGGGACCGGCCTCCCTGGAAAGCGGGTTGGGCTTAATGCCCAGTTTGCGTAGGTACCGCAGAGTCAGGCTGGCCTCGTCGCAGCTCTTTAAGATGCCGGAATCCCCTTCTATGTCCCTCAGCTTCTCTGAGGCGTTGAGGAAGACCACCCCCAGTTCTGGCGAGATGAGGTTCTTCACCCAGTCGTCCACCTGGGGTCCCTGGGAGGAAGGGTCCTCCTCCATTTCGGCCAGCTTCCGCTGGAGCAGGCTGTTCACTCCGGGCAGGCTGTCGGTCCCCACGTGGGTCACCAGGATGGAGTCGATACGGTCCAGGTGGCGCACCAGTTTCCAGAAGGAGGAGCGAGGGTTGGAACCCCCGTTCACCAGGATGTTGAAGCCGTTGACGGCAAAGAAGGCTGAGTCGCCCCGCCCCCCAGGGAAGACGTAGCAGCAGGGCCTGGAAAGCTTCAGGAAGCCGACTGTGCTGGGGGGCTCCAGGAGGTCGAAGGGGGACGGGGGCTCCAGGGACTCCGACAGGTACTCCATGAACTCCTGCAAGCCCTCCATGGGTGGTAGCACGCAGCCGGGGTTGAAGTGCAGGTCTATGAAATCCAACAGGTTGTGCTGGCTCAGCCTGGAGTCCTTCCATTCCCCGAAGTCTGGGCAAACCACGGTCAAGCTGGCTTTGGCCGAGGGGTCGGCCGAGCTGAGCAGCTCCCCAACCTAGGAGGAGGAGGTGGCATCAGGAGAGAAGGGAGTTGGAAGCCCCGAGCAGCACCCCATCCGTGGGGTGCCTCTTCCTCCCGCAATGCACGGAGGAAGGGAAACCAAAGGTCGCATTTACAGCTCAGAGGCCAATGGAGCCTGGTTCTCCTTCTCCTCCCCCCCCATACACTTCACCCCACATTCACTTTGGGGTGCGCTGTTCTGTTTTGGGATAGCAGGGCAATTCTCCAGGGCAGGCACTGGAAGTCCTCGTGGCCCCGGAAGCAAAAGGGGTAGACGGCCCTGAGTTCTCACAGCTGCACCTGGCTGGGCGGGGGGGGCAGGGGGAGTTGAGGAAAGAGTTCGGGAGCAGCACCCAACCCTGGAGCTGGGCAGGAGCCCTGGGGCCACCGTGCCTGGCTCCTGGCCAGTGGCGGGGATCCACCTGCAGGCCTCCCGGAGAAAGGGTGGAAGGGAGCCCCTCCCGCCCTGGGGTTGTGCTCCCAGAGCTCTTTCTCTCAAGAAGCCCCTTCTGACATTCAGCCCAAACCCTCCTGCAACCCGGGTCAGCCAGGAGTCCCCCCCCATTTTCTCCCCTCAAGGCTAAACAGTCCATCGGTCTTCAGGGGGCCTCGTCTCTATGGCCCTGATCTTCCTAGTTGCCCGTTTCTAAATGCTTCCCAGCTTGCCCAAAACTTCCTTAAAATGTGGGACTGTGCAATATTTAGTGTTGTCAGCTGGAAGCCTCACTCCCCCCCCCTTTATTCAGAAGCTGCATTTTTGCTGCCAGTCAAATGTTGTGCGTGTCAACTCTGCAACGAGCATGGCTGCAGCCATTTTTTCCTTCTCATTCTAGGTTGCCACACAGAATGGAGGGAGGGGGGTGGCCCAGGTGCTTTGTTAGTTAAAATAACCTTCTGTCCTGTGGGAACCAAGGTCATCGGCAACTAGGGACTGGGCATTGCATAAAAAGCTCACCAAATGAGTATATTGGGGGACGTGGTTGCTTGCCTAGTTTTGTGGGTGGGACATTTAACTTCAGAATTGGGCAATTATTGCTTGTGTATTCAGACTTGGTTTAATGTCATGGTTCCGACAGACAAGACAGCCTGGAAGGGTTGTAAGCTGAACCTCCCGAGTGCCCTCAGGATCGAAGCCCTTCAGCGCAGTCATGATGCAAAGCAAGCCGGTCACTTTGGGTTCCTGAAAACGTTACATTGGGTGGGAAGGCAGTTCTGGTGGCCAGGCATGAAAAAAGACATTAAGAGTTATGTGAAAAGCTGTGCCACCTGCGCTGCTATGAAGAAATGCCCTGGGAAGCTTCCAACGCTCCTGCAGCAAGTAGCTGACCCTTCCCAGCCTTGGGAGGAAATAGCTATGGATTTCACAGTGGACCTGCCCGAGAGAAAGGGAAGTGCTGTCATATGGACTCCGGTTGATCTATTTTCCAAACAAGCTCATTTCATCGCTTGTTCAGGGCTCCCCTCTGCACAGAAACTGCCCAAGATGTTTTTGAAGCACATCTATCGGCTCCACGGAGCTCCTAAGCAGATTATTTTGGACAGGGGGGTTCAATTCACCGTAAAGTTCTGGAGGGAGTTCGCTAAGCTTATTGGGTCTACTCAGGGGCTCTCATTAACTTTTCATCTGAGTACCAATGGGGCGGCTGAACGTGCGAACTCAATGGTGAAGCAGTACCTCAGATGCTATGTTAATTACCAGACGACTAACTGGGCCGATCTTCTGCCTTTCGCTGAAGTAGCCTATAATAATACTGTGCACAGCAGCACTGGTCTTACGCCGTTTAAGGTAGTTACTGGGAGGGGTTTTGTGCCTATGCCTAAGTACCCCCAGGAGCCACCTGCCTCCCAAACTCTGGATCAGTGGGTGACCTCCTTCCAAAGTGTTTGGGCGAAGGTGAAAAAAGCCTTAACCCAAGCCGATAAGGTTTACCAGGAGCAGGCTGATAAGAAACGCTCCCCTCAAAGACCATTTTATGTTGGGGAAAAGGTTTATCTTTCAACTAAGTATTTGAGATTGAGGTTACCCAGCAAAAAATTGGGGCCAAAGTTTCTGGGTCCTTTTCCTATCACCAGAATCATAAATCCTGTTACCGGGGAGTTAAAGCTTCCACGGCTTTTGGGGAAAGTCCACCCTGTGTTCCACTGTAGTCTGTTGAAACCTGTGTCTGAATCCTCTCCAAGACCCATTCCAAAGAAGCCGCTGGGTCCAATAGTGGTGGAAGGGGGAGACAGAATATGCGATAAAACGAATTCTTGATTCTAGGCCAGCGGTTCTCAACCTATGGGTCGCAACCCCATTTGGGGTCGAATGACCATTTTACGGGGGTCACCAAACAATGCGATCTGCCATTTTTCCCCCTCAGGGGCGCCGCCGCACATGGGGCGCCGCCGCGCATGCGCGCTGCGTCCGTGTGACCGGGGGTCGCCGTATAAAAAAGGTTGAGAACCACTGTTCTAGGCTGTACAAGGGGAAGTTACAATACCTCCTTCAGTGGAAAGGCTACCCCCTTTCAGAAGCTACGTGGGTGCAATGCACAAATGTGAAAGCAGAAAGGTTAATAATTTTTTTTTACAAGCCTTGAGGAAATACTTAACATGCTTCTTGTTTCCCCTACAGGAGGCTCTTTCCTTTTAAGAGGGGCCGACTGCCAACTCTACAATGAGCCTGGCTGCAGCCATTTTCTCTTCTCGTTCTAGGTTGCCACCTAGAACGGAGGGAGGGGGGTTTGCCCAGGTGCTTCGTTAGTTAAAATAATCTTCTGTCCTGTGGGAACCAAGGTCATCGGCTGCTCCCACGACTAGGGACTGGGCGTTGCATAAAAAGCCCGCCAAATGAGTAAATTGGAGAACATGGATGCTTGCCTAGTTTTGTGGGTGGCACATTTAACTTTGTAATTGGGCAATTGTTACTTGTGTACTCAGACTTGGTTTCCTTTTGACCCTGCCGATACTCTCTAACTAATAAACATGTTCTTTGAGGGATTTTCAAGCCTCGGAGTTCTGCGTTATTCAGCTCTGTCTGTCGGAACCATGACACTGCGTGTGTCTTTGCCACCAAAACGGGGAGAGAGAGAGAGAGAGAGAGAGAGAGAGAGCGCCTGCAATCAACTGGCATCCCCCAGCCTTTCCACCAGTCCTGTGACCAGGCCAGGCACCGAGGCCCCACCCTGCGCTTCTGAATCAGATTTTTCTTTCTCTAAACGAAGAGCTGCCCATTTCTTTTGCTAACATTTAATATTTCTGTTTTGGCCCATTCGCCAAGCACCAGCCTCGTTCTAATCTCTACTTTTTCTCTCCTGGGGGGCTAGCCTGCCCCAGGCCCTCGCAGCCGTTCTGCAGACATGCTTGGCGGTCTCATCCAAGAGGTAAATGCGGAGGCTAGGAGGGGCCCGTTCCCCCTCCCCCGCTGGCTTCCCTGGCCCAGCAGGCCTTCCTTGCCAGCCCCACTTTCTGCTCCGGAACCAGCCAGCCCTGCTCCCTGCCCCCCCCCAGCTCTCTCCCCCCAGGGTCAACCGGCTCCCCCGTCCAGCACCCGGGAGAGGCGGGAGCCGCACCTCTTTGTCCGCAAAGACCTGGATGAAGTCCCGCAAGGAGAAGGCGCCCGTCTGCAGCACCAGCTCCCCCGTCTCCTCGATGCAGGGCCCGGCAAAGACCAGCAGCTTGTGGCGTGAAGGGTCGGTGATCAGGTTGCGGAGCTGCAGAGGGAGAGAAAGGAAGGGGAAATGGGGGACCCCAGCGCTGCAGGGCCCTCCCCCACGTGAACCAGGGCAGCCTGGCTCTCCTTGGCAGCCCCTCAACCAAGAGGCCCCAGAGGAACCCAGGCAGAGTTTGGATTTGGCCACTTAATTAACTGGCCCAATTGCATGGGCTGGGCTGGTCAATGACTCCAGGACATCTGGACAGGTGTGTATGTGTTTCTGTGCCTTGAGCAAGCACTTGGTCCACAGTGGTGGGGGATGCTGGCCTTGTGGGGAGGGGAGCTGTCAGGCTCCTCCTGACGCCTAGAGGGGCCAGGCTGAAGGATGGGGGGGCCACCCAGCCTTCTCGTCCTCATTCTGCCAGGCTAGGGGCACCAGGTGTCTGGGTGGAGAAAGGGAGAGGGGGGGAAATGGCTCCAGGGAGGCCGTGCCGGTGGTCCTCCCAAAGCCCCTCCTGGGGAGGTTGCCTGCTTCCCCTTGGGCAGCCACAGAGCCCCCCTGAATTGCTCAGGCCTCCTTCCACATCCCACCCTGTGCTCTGCCCCAGGAGAACTTCGGCCTGCTGCTCACCTCGTCACAGATGGATTTGTCTGAAGGGTTCAGCAGAACTAAGGTTTCCAGCACATTGCCACGATGGTGGAGGGCACGCTGACCTACGGAGGGCAGGAGGTGGGGTTGAAAGGTGGGGAGGAGGCGAGGTGGGACCAGCCTTCCCTGGGCCCAGGAGAGTCGCCCCACGGCACAAAGCCCCACCCCCCCCAGCCCCTTCCGAAAGCCAGAAGGGTGGCAGCCAGGCATCCACCAGATGGATTTATTCTTGGCCGGAGGAGCTGTCCTAAGAGGGAGAGGCCACTCGGGTGAGAGGGAGCCCTGGGAAGGCCGAGAAAAGCTCAGGGCACGGAGCCCCTGCTCAGTTCCAGGGCAGCTGGGCTTCTTTCGTGGGGACGTGTTCTCCCCTTCTGCTCAAAGAGCCCCCCTACCCCAGCAGCAGCCAGTCTGGGGCGCCCCGGGGGTCCGCCAGCAAAGGGAACCAGAGCAGCCATTGAGTACCTGGTCCCAAATATGGCCAGTAAGCAAGGACTATTGGTACTCAACAGTCTGGGGGGGGAGGGAGACCGATTCCAGCCCCCCCAACTGGCACATCCCTTCCCGGAGGCTGAAACGAAGGGCAGAGGCCCCAGAACGCCAGCGGCTTCTCCACACGAGACCCCTCCTGGCTCGAGTCACCCCAGAGCGCTGAGCCCCGACAGCCGAGAGCCTGGCTCCTCAGGGGGGGCAGATGGCCAGCTGAAAGGACCCCATAACCCAGAGGACCCCCCACCAGGTGACTGGCGAGGCAATGAGGCCGTCTCCACCAGGCAGGCTGGCCCCACAGCCGGCCCTTCCTTTCCCCCTGAGAGCCCCAGGACTGGCCGAGGCCCACGGCTGTGTGCCAGAGACACAGCCGCTGCTCCCACTCCAGGCTGTTTCCCCCAGTCCCGATTTTGGCCAAATGGCCCCGAGTGCAGCCTGAGGAGGCGTCTCTGCAGCCGGGCCCGCCTTGGCACTTCAGCTCAGACAGGACGGGAACGCTGCCCCCCCCCCCAGGAAGCCCCAAGTGGGAGGGAGGGGGGGCAAAGTGTTCTACACTGATCCCTGGTGCGAATGCTGAGAGTGGGGGGTCCCACCGTCTCAGTCACCGCTCGGCCTGTTGGGCTCAAAGCAGCCCTTTCAAAACCCTTCCGGAAGGGCCCAGCTCGGCTGCTTCAGACCCAGACCGGACGCTTCGTCCCTGGCTGATCTCTCAGAGCTATCCCTGGGACACGAAGTTGGGAAACGCTAGAAGAACGTGCTAAAAATGTATGAAAGAAAAATAAGCCTTATTCCATTTCTTGAATTCAAGCTTATCCAGGGAAGTTGACCAGCAAGAGACTCAGAACAGAGTATTATCAAAAGGAGGGAGGGGAGGGCAGGGCAGGGCAGGGCAGGGGAGGGCTTTGGGCCTCTCTCCCAGAAAGAACAGCTGGCTGGTGTCAATGAAAGCAGCTGACCCAGGAGTGGCCGAAAGCTCTCAAAGAGCAGTTCTGTTTCTCCATTAAAGAAAAGTTTGCTTTCTGGGGCAAGACACCGCCATGCCCTGAGGGGGTGGGGGAGTGGGGGGGGGCTGTGGGTGAAGGAAGCTATTATTCAGTTGCTCTTTGGGGCACGTGGCCACTGCCAGGCCAAAGCCAGACAAGGACCCGATTTCAAGGCCACGAACAACAAGGCGGCCATCCACAAGAGCGTCCAGAGTCGGCTTGCACTGGAGCCGAGAGCTCGCCTGGCAGATGCGGTCCATCCTCTGCCTGCTCTGTCCAGCCTAGTTTGGGGCACATGGGCCAGGTAGTCCGGCAGAAGAGGGTGGCGGGGTGGCGGCTGCTGCTGCTGCTGGCACTGGACGGGGGAAACGGCTCTTACCCTCGGGGGCCACCCAGACAGAGCAGAAGCTGCAGGCCCTCCAGCCAAGGAAAGGGCCACCCTATTCACACGAAGGCTACGGGGGGGGGGGCTCGGCCTCCTACTGGTGCCCATCCCTGGAAGCGATGCCAGGATTTTCTCCCTTCCAGATGGGCAGCTGGCCTGAGGCCAGGAGAGGAGGTACTGTCTCAAGGGAGACCTTCCAGATGCCCGCCCCAGTTGGGGCCAGACGTGACCCAACCTGTGAACGTGAGGAAGGGCGAAGTCGGGTTACTCATCCACGTGCCAGGGAGAGGGACAAAAAGCCAGGGAGACGGGAGAGCCGCACTGGGTGGACAGCCGACGACGCCAACCCACCGCCCAACCTGTCTCTGGGAAGATGTGCCCTGCCTCCAGGTGCCCAGGGGGAAGTGACCCTGCCCTGGACAACCTCCAGCCCTCCCTGACCGCTGGGCAAGGCCAAGGCCAAGGTAAGACAGGGCAGAAGAGACGATGGGCGCTTCCACCGTCCCCGGGGCCTGTCCAGAGAACAAATGGGGATCCACTCCCGGGCCTTTTCTGCTGACCAGCTGCCCCCCCCCCAGGAACAAAACACCCCTCCCCAGACAGCTGCAACTTCAGAGATGGGCGAGACAAAAGGAAGGCAGACCAAGGCAGCAGGGGGAGGGGTCGGAGGCTCAGACTGACAGAAGCAAAAGCTGGGAAGTTCAAGCCGATTGGCTGAGCCGGGGTTAAAACAAGGCACAACGTGACAGTTCTGGCCTTTCCAGGATTTTTGCTGGCAAGTGGACTGAAATATTACTTGATATGTAGCTTTGCAAACGGATCAGGGGTGGGCTATAAAGAAAAGAAATATATGCAGGGAACTTTATAAGGGGGGAAGAAATATTAACTTTGCCTGTGATAAATAGAATAGAGCTGGAAGGGACCTTGGAGGCCTAGTCCAGCTCCCTGCTCAAGCAGGAGAACTATACCATCTCAGGCAAGTGACTGTCTGGCGTCTTCTTAAAAACCTCCAGTGACAGAGCGCCCGTGATTTCTGGTGGCAAGCTGTTCCACTGGTTAACTGTCCTCACTGCCAGGAAGTTTCTCCTTAATTCCAGGTTGCTTCTCCCTTTGGTCAGTTTCCAACTGTTGTTTCTCGTCCTTCCAGCTGGTGCTTTGGCGAACAACATGACCCCCTCTTCTTCTTTGGGGCAGCCCCCCAGATACTGGAATACTGCTATCGTGTCTCCCCTATTTTTTCTTTTCTTTAGACTGGCCAGACCCAAGTCCCGCAGCCGTTCTTCGTATGTTTTAGCCTCCAGTCTCCTTGGATCATCTTGTCTGAATTTTTTCCAAACTCTCAACATCTTTTTTGTGATCTGGTGACCAAAACTGGCTGCAGAATTCCAGGTGTGGCCTGACTAGGGCTTTATAAAGCAGGACTAAGACTTTGCGTGATCCTGATTCTGTTTATACAATCCAGGATTGTGTTAGGTTTTTTGCTGTGCTGAAAACAGGAAGTCACCTCCTTAGCTATTATTTCTTTTCTTTAATCTTTCTTCTTTTGCTCTTTCTATCCTTTTTTCAGTTTTTTCTCTCTCTTCTGAAGCTTATTATCTTTTATTATTTTTCAATGTATTTTTTTTTAAAAAAAGAGATGAAAATGTAGGCACTCTAGAGCAGTGGTTCTCAACCTTTTTAATGCCGCGACCCCCAACCGGTCATAAGTCGAGGACTACTCAACCGGTCGTAAGTCGAGGACTACTCAACTGGTGCAGCACCGTTTGCAGAATGGGACTTTTGGCGGGCTCAGCAGGGCAGAGACAGCCTGGACAATTCCTATGGGCTTTGGAAAGCCAATAGAATTAGACTCTATTCAAGAGAGTCTATTCTATTGGCTTTCAAAAGCCAATAGAATAAAAGGGAGTAGCACAGCTAAGGAAAAGGGAGAAAAAAATGGCGGACTGCGTTGTTTGGCGACCCCCGTGAAATGGTCGTTCGACCCCAAATGGAGTCCCGACCCACAGGTTGAGAACCGCTGCTCTAGAGAAAGAGCGACAGCAAATCAACTTCTATTTCTGCCTGCCCCAGACCGACACCCTGCGGGACAGCTGGCTTGGACACCCCCAAACTCTAAGGCCCCCGTTTTCTGAACCTAGGACTGAGAGGGCCACGGGGGCCATGCCAGGGCGGAAAGGAGAAGGCCCCAGACTTAGTCCAAGCGAAGGTTTTCAAGCCCTGCCCCATAACCGGCTTGCACCACTGCCACCCTCCCCCCTCCGCCCCCCCCCCGTGCCAGTGCCAGGGCAGGAGAGGGCAGGACAAGAAGCGCCCGGGGGGGGGGGGGAACTAGCCAAACAGGGAAGCAACCTGGAACTAAGGAGGAACTTCCTGGCTTCCCTCCGGGAGCCCTGGGGGCTCCATCACCGGAGGCTTTTGAGAAAAGACTGGTGAGCAGCCGTTTGTCTGGGGTGGTGGAAGGTCTCCTGCCTTGAGCAGGGGGTTGGACTAGAGGACCTCCCAGGTCCCTTCCAGCTCCGCTATTCTGAATTCCCGGGTCAGGGCGACCTCTGCCGGACCCCTGGAGGCTGCTTGGCAAGATGGCCCGAGGAGCAGCTGCCCAGCCATTTCCTTACCTTTCACGATGTCCGAAAAAGTCGCGGACTGGCGGGAGACGAAGAGCTTGAGCTGCTGATTCAGGTTGCAGGCAGTGAGGTCGATATCCCACGAGCGGATCCCTGCCAGAGAGAGAGAGAGAGAGAGAGAGAGAACAGACAGAGAGGGAGGGAGGGAAGGAGGGAGAGAGAGAGAGAGAGAGAGAGAGAGAGAGAGAGAGAGAGAGAGAGAGAGAGAGAAGAGAGGGGGGGAGAGGGAGATTGCAGAGAAGCATCAGAATCGCTGTGGGGCGGCACGCACAGCCTTCCCCGCCGGAAGCTGCGACCTGGGGACGAAGAGGGCATCTGTGGAGATGCAGATGGGAGCCCCCCCCCGGCCCCTCCGACTGGGGCTGCCCTCTCCTTCCCCACAAACTCACCCTGAAATGATGGAGGCGGCCTTTGGTGGGCCGGGGGTTTTGTAACCCTGCCTGGCAGATGGCTTTGTCCCCACCCCATCCCCAACTCCAGTGAAACCAGTTTAAGCTGAAGGGACCAGAGGAATCCCCAAGGACCGGCAGGACCAAAGAGCAAACCGTGTTTCTGGGCCATGGCAGCCTTCAGCCCCTTCCCCCTTCCCAAAAGCTCTCCCGCTCTGCTCCCTCCCTGGGCCTTCCGGACATCCATCCACCTGCCCAGCTGCTCCTCTCCCAGGGTCTGGGCACCAACATCCTATGAGCTCAGGGAAGCCCCGGGCACTTCCTGCCACGGAAGAACAAAGGACAGGCTGGAGCCCAAGAACACCAGGCCACGTGGGGGCGTTCGCTTTGCCACAGAACCAGGGGAGGAGACGTCTGCTTTTGTCCGGGCCCAAGACCTCCGCCCCCTGCCCCACCCGGGCGTGACCCAGGCCCACACACAGCGCTGCAAACCGACTGGAGGCCATGACGGCGGCTACCGTGCGCAGGTGCCCTGGGCCTCAGAGGCCCCTCGACTGCAGCCGGGCTCGACTGCTCACGCATCCCAAGCTGCAGGGGCTGAGGGCAGGCAGCCCTCCAGGGCCCTGCCGGCAAAGCCACCTTGGAAAAGAAGCAGCCTATCCAGCCCCCCACAGCTCCCTTCACCCCAGCTGCACCCCAAAATACGCCCAGGGAATGACAAGACACGCAGGCCACACCGGTTTGGGAAAGGGAGAACGGAGATCTCGCATTCACAGCACGCTTAAACTTTGACGAAGGATCCCCTGGGAAACCGATCCTGAGCAATGACCCACGTCTGACAGGAAAGGGGAAAAGGTTTTGCGGCGCTGGGAAGCCTGAGTCAAACCAGGGACACCCTCCTTGCAGCTGCGGATGTACAAGGATGGCTTCAAGGATTTGGAGATGATTAAGCTCCGACCACATTTACTGTGAAAGCTCCCGCCTGGCAGCGTGCACAACTCAAACCTGCACGGACAACACAAAACACTCCAGGCGCCTCAGCAGCTCTGGAGGCACCTGGAACTCCAGGACCGAAGAGAGACGTCACAACGCTGGAACAGATACAGAGCGTTCAATTTTCTACGGAAGGAAGAACTCAAGATACAGGCGGTTCACGACTTAACAGAAACGGGACGCTGCATCTGTCACAAACACACAGAGGCCGGTTGCTAAGCACTCAAATTGTGATCACACGGGGGGGGGGGAAATGCTGCAGCGGTTGTGTGAAAAACAACCAGCAATAAGCCAATTTATGAGAAAAGTCACTAAACGAAGGGCTGCAAAGTCAAGGGCTGCCTCTATCGGATAAGATAACCTTTATTGTCATTTTTTTTAATCATGCTTTTTATTAGGTTCTTTTTTGTGTGCCGCATTGCAAGAAACCTGAAAGTTGTTTTAACCCCTTGTGATTTGGCCTGGTCCGCCCTGGGCTCCCTTTTGGTTTTGCATCCGAGCAGGTTCACGTTCCCATGGGAACGATGGAGCAGTTAAAGAGGCAGAAGGAATCTGAAATGTTATGAAGGGCTTTGGCTTTATTGACATAATTATTCTAGGGACAAATGAAATAATTTTATGTAAATTATTCTTTTGGAGTCAAGGAAAGGATGTTAGATGTGTTTGTTATTACCGCTGCTTTAGATTCTAAAATAAATGGAGCAACGGGATTGATTTAGGCCAGATATAATGGTCAAGTTTAAGGACTGGAATAATTTTGATACTAGATAGCTATATTTTTTCCTGTTTATTCTATTTAACTGCTGTAACGTATGTAGATTGTTTGCTGCATGGTCCACGGTATGTATTTTTTGTTGTTTCACAAATAAAAAAAAATCAAAACTAGAAAATAGGATATTTGCAATTCTTTTAAACAAAGACAACGACTACGATTACTTCAACTCTAGTGCTCCTTGGAAGACCAAAGTCAGCCAAATAAATAAATTCTGATCTCCAGAATTAACAAACAGCCTTTGCCATTCCAGCTAAGGGGCTTCCTTGGGGCTTCCCCCCGCCCTACAGACCTCACTAGAGCCGCACCTTGGAGCAAATTTGGACGTCTGCTCTGGAACGAAGCCCCCCAAAATCAAGAGTGGAGCTGAGCTCAAGGGAGGTTCTCAGAAACAGACCAGAGGACAGTGAGGCTACCTGGTTTGGGTAACAAAACATCTACAAGAAAACAAGCGAGTTCAGAAAGCACCAAGGAGCCCTCAGACCAGACAACCGTTTGACCGGGGTGGCATTAGGCTCCTCCTGCCTGGAGCAGGGGGCTGGACTAGAAGACCTCTGAGGTTCCTTCCAGCCCTAGGAGTCTGTGTTCTATGAACCTGCAGAGGACAGTGCCCATTCCACTGGGAAACTGGGAAACCTCTAGGAAAAGGACGAAACCTGCAAGGTGGCGCAGCAGTTAGAGTGCAAGTACTGCAGGCCACTTTAGCTGACTGTGTTCAGCAGGTCAGCGGTTCAAATCTCACCGGCTCAAGGTTGACTCAGCCTTCCATCCTTCCGAGGTAGGTCAAATGAGGACCCAGATCGTTGGGGGCAATGTAAATATATATATACATTGCTTACTGGTGTACATCGCTTAGAGAGTGCTCGCACTTAAAGCGGTATATAAGTCTCATAAAATAAACAAATAAATAAATAAACCGCCCTGATTTTGTTTCGTGTCGCTTGCAATGAAAAGCGAAGGATTTCTCAGAGGACCAGCGGACCTCTCTCGGCCGCCCACCCAAGGGCCTCCTCGCCTGCTGGGTGGGGCCAGGGCCGCAGAGGGCACCCCCCGGGGCACTTCCCTCATGGCACCCCGGAATGAGGCTCTGGGGTGGGGGGGGGTAGGGGTGGGATGCTGCCTACGGCCTTCCGACTGCCGTTAACTACCTAAAACAGGGGTAGGCAACCTTGGCATAGCTGGCTCAGGAATTCTGGGAGTTGAAGTCCATGAGTCATAAAAGGGCCAAGGTTGCCTACCCCTGACCTAGAATATCGCTCTGGCCAGGCAGATGGGGGGGGGCCCTCTGGCTAAAGAAGCTTTGGAGGCTTCTTTGGCCACCCCCAGTGGAGGAGGGGCCGGAGCAACATGGTTCTGAACTCCCTTCCTTCTTGGGCCTGCAGAAGACGCCCGGGGACAGGAAAGCCCAACGAAGGGGGGGGGGGGGCTCTCTGAAGAAAAGGAACTTGTTTTCCGACAAGGGTGGCTTCCAGCTGGAGCCGGGACAGCAGCCGCTCTTCGGTTTGCATCTGCCTTTGCTGCCGCCTCCGTGGGAAGCTGCGGCTGACGGGCCAGGGCCAGAAAGTCCCTCCGTCTGGGCTGCAGTCCAGCAGAAAAAGGGCCGCCTCTCCTGAGGAAAACCAGATTGATTTACTTTTTCTGATTCCAGTGGGGGAAATCCGACCTCTCTTTGACATGAGCTGCTTCAACCCTGGGTCAGGTTTTGAACACTTCTGGCGAGGTCAGACAGGGGCGTGCAGACTTCGGGGCGTTTTGCGTGCCGCAGGGACTCCCGGTGCCCAGGGACAAGGGTGGTCTCTCCACTCTGCCCGATCTCCTTCAGGCAGCTGAAGCTGAAGCCGGGCAGAGAAGGCACCAATCCTCTCCAAGCAGCTCCCGCACAGGCCCTGGGAGCCCCCCCCCGGGAGCCCCCCCACCCCCTCCCAGCCGATTCTGGAGCCACCGCAGAGCCACCACTCAGTCAAGGTCTATGCAGGGGGGGGGGTTTCCCACCCTTCTCGGAGGTCTTTGCCCTCTGACGACACAACCGTGGACTTTGGGGCCGGTCTGCAGCGAGGGAGCTGAGCTGCACGGCCTCCAGAGCCAGCCTGAAGGCAAAGCCCTGCGTGCTAAAAGCAGGCAGGCAGATGCCCCTTCAGAGTCGCCTGCCTTCTGCCCACTTGAGAGGGCCTGGAACGAGAGCACGAAGGGCACGTGGCCTGATCTAAGCGGGGGGGAGAGAAGGGACGAATATTAGTGCTGCAGAAAGAACACATGACCCTCTTGTGCACTGCAGTCCTGCAGGTGGAAACACTGACAGGGCTGCCCAGAGTGTCCATTGGAGCAGGAGCCCCCTACTTCAGCCCCGTCATTCCAGCGGAACAGGACGAAAGGGTGAATCCTGTCTCAGAGGTGAACCAAGCCTGGGGGGATGTTGCCAGGATGACCGCTGGCTGCCCCCTCCCTGCGTCTTCAGCCCTGCCTCAGAGGAACAAAGGAAGCAAAAATCAAAAATAATTCAAAAAGTTTCTTTCCACATATAAACCACAAGAAAAAAGCCAAGGAAAGAGTGGGTCCACTAAAGAGAGAAGATGGGAAGGAAGTAACAGGCAGCAGAAAGAGAGCAGAGCTGCTTCACTCATTCTTTGCATCAGTCTTCAGGCAAAAAGAAACTATAGCCCAACCTACCAAAAGCATAACTGTAAAAGACAGACTAGAAATAAAAATTAAAACAGCAAGAAAATGGTAAGAAAACACCTATCCGACCTTGACGAATATAAATCACTGGGACCTGACGGATTACATCCCAGAGTTCTGAAGGAGCTGGCAGATGTTATCTCAGAACAGCTGTACCAATAGCATATCTTTAAAAAAAATCCCGGTGCATCAGGGGAACTACCAGAGGACTGAAAAAGACCTTGTGTGGTTTCCATCTTCAGAAAAGGAAAAAAATCAAGACC